CTTAAAGTTTCATGCCAGGTTCTTGGCTTTGATCCAATGTGTTTTTTAATTAGTTTTATCAAAATTTTATTTACTGTCTCCACTTGACCATTGGCTTGGGCGTAATATGGTGTTGAAGTTAACATTTTTATATTCAACGATTCCGCGTATTAGGATAATTTTTTACCAACAAAAATAGTTCCTTGGTCTGTTGTTAATGTTTATGGTATTCCGAATCGATGAATTATGTATTCATCGATGAAATTAACAACATCATTCTGAGTAACTTCTTTTAATGGAATTGCCTTGGCCCATTTTGTAAAATAGTCCACAGCTACAAGGATGAATTTTTTAGCCTTTAGTCAAAAGAGGATGAATTTGGCCAATTAAATCTAAAGCCTAGCCCCGAAAAGGCCATGGCTTAATTATTGAATGCAATTCTGTGGCTGAGACATGTTGAATATTTCCATGCTTTTGGCATTCTTTGCAAGATTTTACGTATTCAAAGCAGTCTTTAACCATCGAGGGCCAATATAATCTTCCCGAAATAGCGTCCATTTCATCCTTTCTCCAGCTTGATGGGCTCCACAAATCCCTTCATGGATTTCTACTAAGGCAATATATGCCTCATGTTCGCCTAAACATCGAAGCAAAGTTTCGTCAACACTCTGTTTGTATAGTTCATCAACCAAAATTATATAATTAATTGCTCAAATTTTTTTTTCGATCAGTTGGAGTATTGGGATCTTTAAGATAATCAACCAGAGGTTTCCTCCAGTCTTGATCAGATAACTCACCGATGTTTAGGATCTTGAGATTTGTTGGTCCTAACTTTTTCCTTATCTCTGTTAATTTTGCTAGATTTTCACTCGAGATTCTGTATTTTGATGCTATCTGGGCTAATTCATTGGCCTCTTGGTTCTGGTTTCGAGGGATGTGTTCTAGAATGACTTCGTCAAATTTTTGTAATAGCTTGTTCGCTTTTGCCCAATATTCGACGAGGTTCTACTTAGGCATTTATATTCTTTGGTTAGTTGTTTTATTACTAACTCAGTATCTCCTCGAATGATTACATTTCTTGCTCCAAAATTTAGCAGCATTCCAAGTCCAGCTACTAAAGCTTCATATTCAGCCTCATTGTTTGAACAAGCTGATTTTATCTCAAAGAGCAATTTAGTTGGGATTTCGTCGGGTGAGATTATTAGTATTTCAATTCCAATTCCATTTTTGTGACTTGAACCATCGAAGTATAATTTCAATGACTTTAAATTTGTAAAATCAACTTCTTTGATTGGAATCGAATGATCGACAATAAAATCGGCAACAACTTGGCCTTTTACAGATTTTAATGGTTTATAAATCAAAGAGTATTCTGTTAAAGCCAACGCCCATTTTCCAACTCTACCATGAAGAATAGGTTTCGACAAGAAATACTTTATTATGTCATGATGTGAATAAACATGTACATCAAAAGGCCTAATGTAATATTTCAATTTTTCACAAGAAAAATACAAACGTAAACATAATTTCTCGATTGGACTATATCGAGATTCTGCTCCTATCAATATTCGACTAAGGTAATAAACAGCTCTTTCGACACCATTTTCATCTTCTTGGGCTAGCATGCTACCGATAGTCTCGTTCGATGCCGAAATATACAGCTTCAAAGAAGAACCCATCGTTAGCGGAACCATTACTGGTGGTTTTGTCAAATATCGTTTAATCTCCTTGAACATGGCTTGATGTTCTGTTTCCTATCGAAACTCTTCTTCTTTCTTTAACTTCAATTGGGGTGAGAAGATTTTAACCCTGCTAGAAAGGTTGAAAATAAATCGTAGAAAATTTATCTTCCCTAGCAATGATTGCAGCTGTTTTTTAGTCGAAGGTTCTTGTGTCTCAGATATTGCTTTGGCCTTATTCTTGTCGATTTCAATTCCTTTCTAGTGAATAATGAAGCTAAGAAACTGTCATGCAGTAACACCAAACGCACATTTTAGAGGATTCATCTTCAGGCTATATTTTCGCATTATTTCAAATGCTCGTCTAAGATGACTAACATGATCACTTTTACACTTAGATTTTACAACAATATTATCAATATAGACTTGCATAAATTCGGCTATTATGTCATGAAAAATAGTGTTCATGGCCCTCTGGTATGTGGCTCCAGCATTTTTTAACCCGAATGACATTACCACCCATTCATAAGTTCCTAAAGCCCCTGGGCATCGAAAAGCTGTTTTCGATATATCCTCTTCAGCAATAAAAATTTGATTATACCCTGAATATCTATCCAACAGACTTAAAATTTCATTACCTGCTGCCGAATCAACTAACATATCGGCTACTGGCATAGGGTACTCATCTTTCGGTGTGGCAGTATTCAAATTTCAGAAATCAATACATACTCTAAGAGACCCATTTTTCTTAATCACAGGGACTATGTTCGAGATCCAATTGACATACTTGGCTGTTCAAATGATTTTAGCTTTAAGGAGCCTTTCGATCTCTTCCTTAATATTTGGCAAAATCTCTGGGGCAAATCTCCTTAGTGGTTGCTTCACTGGCCTCTTTTTTGGTCGAATTGGGAGTCGGTGTTCGACTAGTTCTCTTGAAAGACCTGGCATTTGGTCGTAATCCCAGGCAAAGCAATCCTTAAATTCCCTTAGTAGCTTGATTAATTGGTCTTTTACTTCTACATCAATCATTTTGCTGATGAAAGTTAACCTCGACTCCTTTTTCGTCTCCAAGGTTCACTTCTTCTAAGGGGTCTTGTGCCTCCATTTTTTGACTTTTTCAAGCTAAATCCTCCTTGAAACCAATCGGCGAGTCATCATAGATGCAATCAAGTCACACTTCTTTGCTTTCGGTCTCTAAGACCGAATCTTCTTGAATCATACATGTTTTGAGCATTGTATGCTTCTGCTCGGCTAAATGAGCCGAATTTTCCTTAATGGCTAAATATGGTGGATCAGCCTCCCATCCTTCGGCCGCTTTAAGGGCCGCTTCTCTTCTTTTAGCTAAATAAGCTGAACTTTTGACCATGTTAATATCTGCATGGTATTGGATTGGGTCTGGAACTTTATGAGCCGAGATTTCTTCAATTTTTTGTGATTTTATGGCCGAACTCGATTGATCAACCTCCAAAGTGTCCACGGCTTTAAGAGCCGTCTTTATTTTATTTTCGGCTACGTAGGCCAAAATTCGAGCCAAAAGGCTCTCTTCAAGGTTCCTCATCTTCATTCTTTTTGGCCTCCACTAGTTCTTGGAAGCCGTAAAAACCTATCGAAGGATCCAAACGAATCTGGTGTCGAATTTCATGAAAATTTAGCAAGTGAGGATTTTGGCCAAAATGAGGGTTGCCTACATCTTCTATATAGAGTGGGGCGATGTTAGCAAAAGATTTATCGAACGTCCTACTGTCGAGGTTGCTCACATGAACTTCAGCTTTGAAATAACTCTGATCTCCATCGACATATTCTAACACTCCGTCGTTATTCCAAAGACATAGCTTCTGATGCAGTAAAGAAGGTACTGCTCCAACTCCATGAATCCATTCTCTTCCGAGCAATAAGTTGTAACTCGCTTTGGAAGTTACTACTACGAAAATGGTTGCTCAAGAAATAGACCTAACCCTTAAGTTGACAATTAGAGCCCCTTTGGAACTTGAAGATTTCCCTTCATAGTTCGTCAGCACCAAGTTGTGGGGTAGTAAATCTTCCTAGAAATTTCTCAATCTTTTTCAGCAAAAAACTAGGCATAACATTGATAGCTGCCCCAGAATCTATGAGGACTTTGTTTACTCAAAATTTCTCATTGATTCGAGCCGCAATGTACAGCGGCTTCATATGATTCTTCATTTCACGTGTCGGCTTTTTGAAAGTAGCCGACGATCTGACAAGTGAACCATCCTCCACCAAATAACAGTAACCCTACGGGTTTTTGTCGGGTTCATTGTCAGCATAAAAGTCATCTTCGTCTCCTTCGCCGGTTCCTTTGGCGTATTCAGCAGGCAACATCAACACTACTCCCACAATGTCCTCAAGATCATCATCGATGCCTGATTCGAATACCTCGATGATTAATTCGTCATCCGGATCATATTCAATCTCTGGACTCTTCATCTTCAAGTCCTTTTGCATTACTGGTGCTTTTTCTTTAGTCATTTTGACCTCGATCCTGGCTGGGGTGCATTGCATATTTCTGACAGTGTTTCCCTGGGCTGGTTGGCATTGATTTTAAGCTCGGACATGGGCTTGAACTTGAGCTTGGGCCTGGGCTAAGGCTTGTGCTTCATATTCGGCCTTTCTGATTCTTTGTGCCCTTCGCCAGTGGGTCTTAGTCATAGGAGCCTTATAATAGGGTTTTTTCGACTGAAAATGGCTTCCTGATGGACTATGGAACCTAGTTTGAGCAAATAGCTGAGGTTGTGCAAAAATCGACTGGGGCATACCTGTTAGATGTGACAGTCCTCCCATTTCGACCCTTTGCAGCTTTGGTCGAGTCAGTGATGGGTGTAGCACATTTCGAACCCATGTGTTGCTTGGAACATTTTAAGTAGGTAAAAAGGTCTTATTTTGGACCATTTGGGGATCCCGTATGGTGATCGAGGCGTTTTGAGTTTGAACATCTTTATTTTTGGTGATCACTTGGTTAGTGGTCACTTGATAGTGTTTCTTCATCTCAATTTGCTCGAAAGCTTTGCCTGCCGCTTTGTCAAATACGGTGCTACACTTTGGGCATAGCATGACTTCACTGTCAGCTTCTTTCTTTCGAGTTAGAATGTCCAGCAGGAGTCACCAGCCCTTGGGAAGATTTCAACTTCTTTTTTCGAAGACTTCCAAGGTGTCATTCAGGGAGCCTTTTCCCTCTACTTCCTCCACAACTCGATCAAATGTTCCCTTTTGTTTTTTAGCAACATCGACCATCAGTATGTCGATAGGTTCCACGAAGTTAGCTTCTACTTGCATGGGATCATAATCGATTTTCATCGGCATTTTGATTTTTTGCTCAAATTTTAATCATCCTTGCTTAATAACGTCTTGAATTAGATCCCTGAAACGAACACAATTATTAGTCCAATGGCCATATACATGATGAAATTTGCAATATTTTTTACCCTTTCTTTGTTCTAAAGTAGGGATCTTATGATCATCACATAACACAATTTGTCCGTCTTTCAATAAGATATCAAAAATATGATCAGCTTTAGAAACATCAAAAGCATAACTTTTATTAGGCCGAGTTTTATCTTTCATTCTGAGTGGTTTTAACGATTGGCAAACATAAGGGGGTCCGAGTTTTAGTTCAGCTACATTCAACTCATTTACTCCTAAATCGACGTCTTCTTTGTCAAAATCATTCTCGCTTCCTATTTCTCCCTCAGCGAGACCTATGTAAGCCACTTTGGCTTTTTGAGAAAATTTCTCAATTTTTCTAGGAAAAGATTTTTCAGCCTTAAGTTGCTCGATTTGCCTTACTTTCGTCGCTAATTGCGACATATCTCTTAGCTGCTGATTAATCAATTTCTTTCTAATCAAATATTCTAACCCACCTACAGCCATTTGGACTAGTTCATATTCTGGAATTTGAGTAAAACATCTCGACCTCATTTGTTGAAATCTATTTAGATAATCATCAATGAATTCATTATGCATTCTTTTTATATTGACTAAATCCATTAAGCTAACTTTTGCTTTGCCACGAAAGAATTGTTCATGAAATCTTCTTTCTAGTTGATTCCAATTATGAATTGAATTTGAGGGCAAAGTTGTGAACCAAGCAAAGGCCTCCTTAGTCAAAGAACTAAGAAAGTACTTCAACTTTAAATCTTCATTTCGAGCTAAATCTCCACATTTTATGATATATCTAGCTATATGTTCAACAGTGGATTCACCAGACTTTCTGACAAATTTAGAGAATTTCAGGACTTTCCAGCTTCGAGGCAGTTCAGCCTGCAAAATTGCCTCAGAAAATGCTGAGACAAAATAAGGTCTATTTGCATACCCTACGTCGAACCCATGTTGGTTCAACACTTGCTCGACAACATTGGAAATATTTTGGAGATTCGGGTTGTTTGGATATTGAATTTGATGCCCCCTACATTATTTTGCCTAACTTTCTCAAGTATTTCATCAACATTCTGATTTCGAGCAATAATAAAGGGTTGATTTACCTAGAAATCACCTTTATTTTGTCTCGAAAGGTTTTGGTCAAAATTCCTACCAATTTGCTCAACTGGAGCATTTTGATTTTGAGCAAAAACTGGGGGTTGGTCCACCTGGCAATTTCCTTCATTTTGTCTCGAAAGGTTTGGGCCATAATTCCTACCATTTTGCTCGAAAGTTTGACCATTTCGATCAAAATTTGTGGCATCTCGATTAGGCGTTTGGGCAACATTTTGCCCTTGCCTCATGGGGATTTGAGGCGCCCCAAAGACGTTAGCAATTCAACGCATCTGTTCAGCCAAAACCTGATAGCTGTTGTTAGTAGTTTCCGCTATGGGATTCAACACAGTGGTCATTTGATGGGTCAACATATTGACCATCTCGTGATTACTTTCATCCATTTGTTGCCTCATGGAATGTAAGGCAACATTTGAAAACGAGCTAACATGAAGCAGTTCCCCGCTCGAAGCTCCAAACGAAAAGTGTGCTCTTGGTAGTCCACCAATTGTACCCATTCTCGGTGGAATGGTATGGACCACACCCATTCCTGGTGGAATGGTGTGACTTTGGGATGACACGGTTGTCACCACCGGGTTGGAGTAGGTTTGTACTCCAAAGATAGGTGGCATACACACAAGAGGCAGGCCGAATGGCTGATCACCCAGCCTTGGCCTTGGGCCAGGATTTATGTTGGGATTGGTTGGCATAGTGGCCATAAATTGGCTAACTACGGGAGATGACAGCGTAGGTAACGCTCGGTGTGGGTTGTGCGGCAGTAGTAGCACTGCCACTTACATTTTCTGGGTTTGTAGTACTCCCATCGTTCCTAGAATTATCATTCCTAGAACTAGAATCACTATTCCTTCCTCTATTAGCCATAATACAACGTCTGTTAAACAATATCATGCAACAAAATAATCAATCATTCAAAACACACTAGATATGTCCCACCAGGCGTGCCAATTTGTTTACGGTGAAAAATGACAGTTTTGTAAACAAATAATCCAAGAGCAATCTGGGGACTGAATTAGGTCCTCTTTGGGTTCTTTTAAGTGTGTTGTTAACGTAACAGTGAAATAGACGTCGCAAATTAAACAATTTAGTAAGAAAAGTGAATATGAAACGTGTAAAATTGAATCACAACATAGAAGTTTTTTACATAAATGTTCTAAATAGAAAGCAATTTGCAGAAAAGGGAACAAAAGCCAACAAAGAAGCTGGAAATAGACTGCAGAAAGGTAAATATACAGGAATGTAAAGGTGCGTTAATGTAAATGTATAACTCCTCACAATAGTGAACAACGGCCACTGTGAGTCTCCTTGTAGCTGGTGTCTGGCGCGGTGCAGGGTTTCAGCGTGCAAAGAATTTTAGGTGCGGTGTCAGGGTGCAAAAAGTCGTCCCCTGTAAAATGGCGCTTTGGAGTATTTATAGGTAGGAAGACCACCACCGTTCTCCTCCTTTTGCGGGCACTTCTTAGTAACTACCTTCAACTGTTGATGCTCATTATCTACGATTACTTGTGATCGTGTTGTTGGTTGGAGCTTCTTTCCTAACCTCTATCGCCCACGATCTCCTTTGCGTAGTGGTGAATGTTGATGACTGCTGGTAACCGCTTTTGGATTTTGCAATGACTTGACCTATCAAGACTTTTTTTTTTTCTATTTTTTGAGTGTTTCTGGGAGAAATTTAGGAGGCTTATTTAGTGTTATGGCCTTAGAATAATTTCTTCTTTACTTCTCTTTTCAACTAATTCTGGGGTTTTTTGAGAGCTTGTCTAGGTCTTGTGGCCTTAATATTTTCTTTGCTCATTTCTGTTTTTCGAGCAATTCTGGAGGGACTCTGGAGCTCAACTAAGCTAGCAGACTTAGAATATTTTCTGACCACTTCCTATTTTTCGAGCAGTTTTGGTTGTCAGAGACTTGGAAACTCCTCAAAACTCCTCGAAAAGGCCATCAATTTTGTGGACATAGAAATATTTTGACCACTTCTTGTTTTTTGAGCAGTTTTGGGTGTCAAGGACTTGGAAACTCCTCAAAACTCCTCGAAAAGGCCATCAGTTTTGTGGACTTGGAATATTTTCTTGTCAGTCCTATTTTTTGAGTAGTTTTGAGTGTCAGTGACTTGAAAACTCCTCAAAACTCCTTGAAAAACCCTTCAGTTTTGTGGACTTTAGAATATTTTCTTATCAGTCCTATTTTTCAAGCAGTTTTAGAGGAAATTAACGAGGTGACAAAAACCTCTAAAATAGCTCGAAATGTGTCCTTTTGATATAAATACTTCTCTAGACCTATTTTTAGGCTCTTTCCAAACTTTCAACATTTTGTCAAAATGTAACTTCTTTCAACATGATTTTTAACTTAGAAAATTTTCCTTATCCTAAACAGTTACGTTATCATAAAGTATTTTAAAATAATTATTTAGATAAATACTTATTTGAAGAGGGATTCTTTTGTTCCAACTTTAACAAGAAAAACAATTAATATCAGCAAAGATTAAGAGGAAGATTCCGGAGGAAAAAGCATGAGACAAATGGATATAGTGATCAAATGCGGCGGCAAAGAAGGATGAACCTTTTGCATTATATTTGTTTAAGCCTATTCCAATTGCAAATAATTTGTTTCGATCTTAGAGCCAAAGCTTCAACCAAGGTCCAGCGTCGTCATTGCTGCTAACAGAGTTTCTTCGTGATCTCAAATGAAAAATCCAAAACATGTTTAATTTCAATATCTTCATGTACACCTGCATCCACATTCTATTTTACTCGTCCATATGTAAGTGCTAAATATATCCACGTTGTAACCATGATTGGAAAATTGAAATCATCTGCCTCAAGAGGATGAATTCTTAAGGCAAGAGAAGCAAACCAGATACGTGAAACTGCACTATACATTAAAAGAGCACGTGAGTCAGGGCGCCACGTGGTATCAAAGAGGGTTTCAGTTACCGTCGTCATCATCGTTGAAGTGATGCATTGAGTGTCTCGGTTGATATTTTCTGAATTTTCTTGTATCATTGCTTTTCTAAAGGAATTGTTGTATGTATATTGAGAAATTATCTTGATACTAGGTAACAAATATGTGGTAACCGTTACTGATAATATGACATTGCCATTTATTTAAAGATCTATTATCATTTCTCTTTAAATATACCTGTCTCACCCTACGAAATTTATACTTCATCTAAAGTTTTAAAATTTGTTCTTACTTGAATTGTAAAATGGTGGTCAACTATTTTTATTTCTTTCAAATCTTAAGTCAAAATTTTGATGAGATAAATTTGTAATAATTACGTTGAGAATGCATCAACTTTTTTATTCTTTTTAATTTTTTCTTCTATTATAATAAAAAAAATTCTCAATTTCAGTAATTGTTTATAGAATTATCTTCAAAATAATTTAAGTTACTAGGGAATTATTATTTTGATAAATTATTAAGAATAACTTAAATGTATTTAAAATCATCAATAAAAGATTTCACAGTTCTTAATATATCTATAACTTTTTAGATGGAAAAAAGATATGTATTGATGTTTTCTTGTTTTTTGATATTTTTTAGTTGTAATCGTAATTGATATATACCTTAACTCTTGTTATAGCAGCAAATATGATTCAAGATTTCTCTAAATTTGAAACAAAAACTAACATCTTAACTAACATCTTACTATTCTTGTGTGCAAATTAGGTAACATGGAGGCTAAGAGTTAAGTCAGAATTAAATGATTTTGTTATTCCAACTGAGATATTATTCATTAGTTATTTCGATTATTGCATTCTCTATGATACTTTCTTGACATTCCACCGTTTACAGATTTTGATATGAATTTACTAAGGATCCTTTAATTGTTTCTAGTACTTGTTGTTTCTAAGTAAAAAAAGTTGATATCATCCAATTTAAATTGATACAGGTGTAGAAAGTGGTTGAGTGGTAGGCTAAGAAGCCATAGTTGAACTTGATGTCACGAGGATCAAGATTTGATCTTATAAAAATATTTACAGTAATTAAAAAAAGAAGAGAATTGAACATAAATAAAATATGTGTATTGAAATGTTGTTACTTACTGTACTGAATACATAAAATGATATTTATACACTTTATGATGTGTGTGAACAACTAATAACTTATACTAATTATAACGTATTAAAATTTGTTTTGTGAAACTGAATTAAGCTATGTTGGGATAAGAATGATATTTTTGCAAGCCCGCTTAAATAATACGCTTTACACCTGGGGATAATATCCATTTACCACAATTTGTTCTAGGAACCCTTTATAAGTTGTTCTATTCAAAATAAAACCATAACCTGTGTTGACACTTGGATTCAACATCTTCAATGTCATGCCATATAAATTGTCCTCTTGGTTAATGGTATTTGTAAAATATCTTACTTCATATATGGTTAAACACATTATAAACCAAGGTCACGTCCTAACCACCCGTGTCAGCATTTATCAATCGTATACTAATCATATTTGAACTTTATAATGACCATCTGTCCAAATTTTTTAATCTTTACTGGCACACATAATCCATATTCGGGTTCTCTCCATTTTTAGCACAAATATGATGCTATAGTCGAAATTCGCTTAAAAAAATTAAGATTCGTTTAAGCGAATTCTGTTGATCAAAATCAATTCAACATCTTGAGAACTGAAAATACTAGTGTCAAACATTCATGAAAAATTCAACTGAACCTCAAACTTTAAGCTGATTGTGCAGCTCCATTTTGAACTAGCGGGTTCTTTTCGGTCCAGTCCCATTGAAAATTGAGATGAATTTACACCTCCACTACCTGAGCAAGAGAAATTGTTTACAGGGATACCACGGACCCCAATTTCAAGTGAAAGAGAATGTTAGAATAGAAAAGATTGCTAAGTAAGCCATTCGACCATGATCTTCTACAGACAATTAAGATATTCGAATCGTATAGACCATTGTCCCATGAAACATCGAGCTTCTCCCTTTTCCTAAATAAATTTAGGTGTTTTATGCAAAGACTATTCATAAAACATAAAAAAGTTGAACTATTCATTACACAATTCTGAGAGAACTAATACCCTCGATACAAAGCATAACACAAACTTATCAAGCAGAGAGAAAAGCAGTTACATCAAAATATGCTTATGCGAAATTATATCTGGAACATCAGTCAAATTCTTTTGATTCAAGGGCAGTGGTGGCTACATTGAATGTGTTTTCCATCCCAGTAATACTATGCAATCTCGTGAGCTAAGTTATAAAGAACAATCC